AAGCGCCAGGCCCTTTTTCGAAAGCCAACGACAAACGGAAAAAAAAAAAAAAAGAGAACCCAGAAACCAAACGAAACCGCACTCGCCCAAAAGAAAACCAAACGCCGGACCCACCAGGCCCGCCAGGATTCGAGCGCCCGACCTTCCCAAGGCCAACCACAAAGCCAAAAAAAAAAAAAGAGAACGCAAAAAACGAAACAAAACCGGACTCGCCCGAGAAAAAACGAACACCGGAACGCACCAGACACGTCAGGCACGCCGCTTCAAGCGCGTCAGAATTTTACATCGGACGTCTCATGCTTCGTGACTTAGTCACTCGCGCGTCAGAATTTTACATCGGACATCTCCACGGAAAAACACTAACGTGGACCATCGCAGACGCGAGACTCGCCTCCGCGGCCGAAAAGTTTTAGGAGAGTGGTTTGAAAAAGGGCAACGGCCTTGAGATATCACTATCTGGCTGACCGGCCCTAGGTAACTCAGAATTGAAGGTGTATTCTAGTCATCTGCTCTGAGAGCAGTTGAAGGTGTATTCTAGTCATCTGCAATCAAACTCGCTTTCATTCACACTTTACATGCATGCAAACAGTAGCGCAGCAAACTGGCGACATGCGCCCACTCAGATCTCAGAGATATGACAACCAAGAACGCAACTCAGACACGAGTTCACTTCAACTGGCTATGGCGACATAGCGCCCACACAACTCTCTGTTCGCATACACCGGGTCACCCTGGATATCCCACACGCGGTTCTCTGAACACTCCCACACACACACACTGAACTCCAATTACAGCCATGGCGGCTATGGCCGCTACTACCCTATCGCTATGACTAACTCCTCTCTCGCCCACTTCGCCCTCGGGCTCACTGCAGACCTCCTTGCACAAGTCGCTTATGGCAGCCCTTCCGCATGGCTCACGCAGGAATGAATGAATGGCTGGGCGCTGCCACTTGATTTATACTTCTGCAGCTCGTTGGTCTGGCCCTTTCCCATGCCCGAAGTGCACACAGTCCCATGCGGTACTTGCTTGACTGGACCAGGACTGCCTAGGACTGGGACTGCTGACTCAGCACCGATAGACTTCACAACTTGCCTCACCACTTGCCCACTTGCCTCAGTCTAAACGTGGGCAACTTCGAAAGGCCACTACTGGGACCTTCCGGAAGGCCGTAGACTTGGCCTTTCGTGACTGTAGCAGCTACAGCCTTGACCTTTCGGGAAAGCTACAGCTACGACTTCTAGACCTGACTAAGACTCCTACTCAACAGGTCTACAGATCGAACCCATGCGACCTCTGGACCCTACGGCAGTCTACCACTGTTACAAATACACAGGTCACGGGTTCAACTCTAGGGGTCGACGCAAATACTGTACACAGGTAAGACGGGGACTAGGGATCAAAACCTGGGATCTGCATCAGCTACTGTGGACTGGTGAATACCGTTTCACATCTGCTCTGAAAGCGGTTGAAGGTGTATTCTAGTGTATTCTAGTCATCTGCTCTAAGAGGAGTTCGAACTCAGGTCTGTATTTAAACAGTTCAGTTGTACACCTTCAACTATTCTAATGTGAATGATCAATTCAAAGGCTCCAGTAAGTGTCATTACCATCCAATCGAGAATGAGCATTGATGATGATTGAAACTGAATGAAATTTACGAAATATATCATGCGATCTATGCAATGCACAACCCAGAGATCGTTGATCACATCCACAAGCATTTGAATGTCAATTGCCATGCACCCTTTTTATTCTGGCGGGGGAGGAGGGGAAGGACGGTTTTTAAATCTATTAATTGGATTCTTTCGTTTTTTTGTCAGAGAAAAATGACGTCATAAAAAAAAGGAAAGGACTGATGGGGGCCATGAGGTCATGCAGAAACAGAAAGCTTGGGAAATGGTGGGGGGATGGGGACGGGTAAGATGGATGAGAAGGGGGAAAGTGAAGCCACAGGGATCAGTAACACTGGCAGAGGCAGTGGGGGCTCAAAGAAACCAACCACAGTGCTGCACGCGTCCTATTCTCCAATGCCTCGTAAGCTCTTCCCCTGAGCAGACAAATAGCTGCAGCAATCTGACACAAACAAGCATAATGTCATCTCATAGACCCTGTTGCCGTAACAGCAGAAACCCGTGCATCCAACCAGTCTACAAGAACCATAACCTAGCACATCCAACCATTCCACTTCATGTTCAACAACTCCCCTCTTCTGCTTGTTCTTCTCCTCCTCCTCCTCCTCCTCCTCCTCCTCCCTATTCTTCATCACCAGTCTTCTTCTTCTTCTTCTTCCTCCTCCTCCTCCTCCTCCTCCTCCTCCTCCTCATTGTTTCACCGTTGCTGTCGTCATCAGCATCCTTGTCATCACTGTCACTTTCACCGCTGTGGGAAAAAACACCAGGAGACTGAGCAGAGGCATCATCATTGACACGATTGTCATATTTTCCAGCATTTTCACATAAGAAGCAACAGGATGAGATGCACAAAGAGGATAACTGTTCCACAAGTTGCATTCCAGTAGAATGTGAATTCTGATCGACGGTTACACGTCCATACCATTCACCAAGCCACCAGGCAAGAGCTGAACCGAACTCGTCGCTGCTACAATTTCCTATTCAAACTTCAAAGTTGAATCAGTGCACTCTCCTCCTCTTCCTGTCCATCATCTTCTTGGTCATGTCATCACCCGCCATAGCAACCGCCCTTTTCCCCCACTACCCTTCACTGATCACAGAATTTGTACATTAGGAAGGAACAGAGAGAAGAAACAGAAGGCGAAAAGTACAAGAAAGAAAAGAAAAACGGGCCTTATACCCCACCCTGTGATTCCACACATTTTGAACTTCACGAGGATGTGCTCAGCCCATCCAGCCCCACAACAATGTGCTACAGTCTTCCCCCCCAATACAACATACGTCATCACAATCATATTCAAGCTAGCTTTCCGGCCCGAAACAACCACAATGACGAGGGGGTACAGTGCTCAGGGGGAGGACGGTAGCACACACCTCCGCGAGCATGTCGAGCATGGGTTTGACATTTTTTGACTGTTTCGTTGGCCTTTCACCAACTCATCAGGAGGTTAAACCTCGACAGCCTGATCTCTTGGCGAAAAGAATCAAAAAACTTCACAATTTACTTGACTGTTCCACATGTCCATCCGCCTCCCTACCACAGGAAATGAGGCACTGTGAGTAGACTCCTTACAGATCATCAGCAGCAACAAACTCATCGTTCCATAAATCCATACAGATGCCAGATTCAGTTCTACAGATTGAGGAAAGAAGCGGAGAGGGAGCTACGGAACATGTAAGGTGAAAAGGGGCTACAGAACATGCTCGTAGCCCCCTCTCAGCTCTCCCTCTCATGCTCGTAACACCTAAAATCTCCAGTCGCACAAACCAATCACTCAGAATTGTACGTTAGACAGATTGTGTGATACCTTTCTCTTGTAACAATCCAGCCAAACAAATATTTGACTCCGAACCTGACAAGTTAGTCACCTATCATAAAGTTCTCCAACTCAGCTTACTACAGATCAGAACAGATAAATACTTGTGGATACAGGCCCCTTTTTCCAGTCTCATGGATTCATGTCACTTAGTCGCATCCCTTTTGGTAACTACAACCCATGTCTGCCAGTCAGTGACCCCTACTGCATGGAGGGCACATTGCCCTGCCTTGCAGTGAAGATCTTATAAGCTGCTGCCTTCTCCGGTTCCTCCACCAAGAAGCGCTCTTTCCAGGCCTTCAGCAGCTCGTCAGCACCCGGTTCAACCCCCTGCTGCTGTGCCAGGTTGCTAAGCCACGACTGACAATCGCCTGTCGTCTTGCAACACAGGCAGATAGTACGATACTCCGTGGGCACCTGATGGGGACAGACAAGCTGGGGGGGTGAATGAGTGCCGCCACTGTGTCGATCAGTCTTGTTGTGTTTGTCAAACAGGGTGACGTTCTCCATCTTGGGAATCTTATAGGTAATCGAAGAAGCGGACGATGGGCACTGCTGCACAGTCTGCTTTAACACAGTGAACTCTAAGCACAGGCTCTGCAGCTCCCTGTGCAGCTTAGACATGCCTTGCTCAGCGTGAGTGAGAACAGCCACTGAGATGGGGGGAGGAACAGAGGTATGATTGGGACCAGCCGTTTTCTGTCCCTCCACAGTCTTCAGGCAGTCTGTGATCTGTGCATCTGGTGTCTATGCAGAGAATGTCCTCTGTTAATTGATGCAGCCAGTGTCCTCGGAGACAAACGTCCTCCTTTTGCTGGGCCCAAGTTGGCAGCAGCTGGGAGATGACTGTGGCAAGAAAGCACTGGCTTGCATCTTCTGCAGTGAGCTCGTGGGTGTCGTCTTTCCTTGCACCAAAATGGACATGCATGCAGATCTGGAACTCGCCGTTAGACAATGTCTTGATGACTTCCTGTTGGTGCTCTCACTGTTCCTCCTTGAGTCTCTCCCAGACTTCTTCATCCATCTTCCACTTCATAGCGGCAACCTCATCCTCCTTTCTTTTCCTGTCTTAATCTTCCTTGTGCTGTTTCTCTTTTGCCTCGGCAGCCTGCATCGCCTTCTGCTGAGCTTCGGCAGCCAATGACTGCATAGGTGTGAGGTAGGTGTCGAAAGGCTCGCCGGCAAGCTGGTCAAATGGCAACTGACTACCCGTTGGCTTGTCAGCAATCTTGCCCTTCACGGGCCCCACCATCACAGCACAAGGGTGTCAAGACAGATCCACATGCGTCAGGCTTGCTGACATGGCACCTGCCTGCTAACCTGTCACCGCTGATGTGGCACCTGCCTGCTTACATGTCATTCCTGATGTGGCAGTTCCCTGCTGACATGTCACCGCTGATGTGGCACCTGCCTGCTGCCGACATGTCACTTCTGATGTGATATCGCCTGCAGATGTTTGCTGAGCTTTACAAAGTGGCGATATGCAGGTGTACACCATTGTACTCAGCTATGGTGTAGGAGGATGAGAAGGGTGAAGAAGCAGAGGGGGTGATAAGGGACGGTTGAGTGGGAATGAATTACGCATTCAATCGGATAGCACTTCACCACCATCCATGGTGATGAAAACAAGGAACCCAGAGAGATTTGGCAAGGGAATAATCAACAGAATGGGGGAAAAAAATTGAGCTGCAGATTGGACGTCCGAAAACCAACCAAAGGGGAAAAAAAAAATAGCATTTGACAAAAGACTTCGCAACTTGATCAGAACGGACCAGATGATTTGCAAAAGAAGGTGAGATGTCAAAGTTCAATTTCCATACTCCATCAAAAAACTGACGACCAGCATTTATTAAAGATAAAAGGACGGACTTGACCCCAAAAGTAAAAGAAGACGAGGATTTGATATCCAAAAAAGAAATTTGTATTGACGAAAGAGTCAAAAAATCGCCCAGTTAAACTTCAGAAAGGAAAAAAATATGAAAAACAAAAATACTACAAATCGCTTTGGAAGTTTGGAGAGAACGATGCAGTCTTCGGAAAAAGACTTGACTAATCAATTGAGCCACCAATCAATCTATCTATGAATCAACCAAACAATCAAGCCGGCTGCATATCAGATCCCAGTTGTTGCTCCGATACCATTGATGCATGCTAAATATAGTTCGCACATGCAGAAGCGACACCCCAACATGCAGAACAGACACACTAGCACTGTGGGTAACTCGTATTAAAAAGGGACTGACATGACGGTCCAGCAAAATAACAGTGTGACTCAGATGCAATCTCGCACCAGCAGTGGAGAGGTCCAATCAGAGAAGAGACCTCCACCCTGAAATCATGCACAGATGAAGTGTAGGTAGGAAGGAGGAGGAAGAGGAAGAACACCCAATGTATGGCAGCGCCAGGTAATCATAATCTCTCTCCGCCTCAATCTCCTCTCCCGCCAACAGGCCTCCAAACAATCTGTCTCGGTTGTCAAGTCTCTCTCTCTCTCTCTCTCTCTCTCTCTCTCTCTCTCTCTCTCTCTCTCTTGCAAGAGGATGTTGCTAACTGGTGAAAGGCAGAGCCTTGAACCGCTTGCACACTGCAGCTGACTCAAAGAAACGGCCAGGTGTGGCCAGTGGCAGACCCCCAAGATACAGTGCCAGGAGGGTGGACGACTCCGCTGTACCTCCAACCTCTCCTAGCTCTACCAGCGCTAATCTCTACCTCCAGTACCTCTAATCTGGTCCTCTACACCCACCAGCCTGGTGGCACAAAAATGAAATGAAAGACTACATAGTACTTACCAACTACTGGACTGTCCTCTCCTATATACTACTAAGCGGGCGACCTTTCAAGCCAGCCTCTCATCTGCATACTGTGATCACCCAAGGATCCGGCAGTTCAGTTGAATGGCTGCGATGCCAGACTCTTGCCCAAGCCTGAAAACATGTGGCAACTGGGTCCCTCCCCCCCAAGTCCAGGCCCTCCCCTGCTGTCTCAGCAACACCCCTGGATCAACAAATGGGACTGGCATACAAGACAGACACAGCTGAGACAGTACACTTCAGAGTTTCGAACAGGACAAAAAGCATGGCAGACATTGGAATGGGACATAGGGCCTTGCTCCACTACTCACCAAATGTGCAAAATGAAAATGAATCTTCCGCTAGAACATGGAAAGATACACCACCTATTTTTTTCTCTCTTATGCATGTTGGTGAGCAGTGGAGCAAGGCCCATAGTGAGCCTGCTCAGACAAATGCTCAAAAAAAGACACAATCTTTTCTTTTCTTTTCTTTTTTTTTTTTTTTTTTTTTTTTTTAGACACAATCTAGAGAAGCACAAAAACGAACTGCCACAGAACAAAACCGTATTGACACCAACAAAATATGCAAACATAAAAAACAAGCAAACGGAATGAAATCAGCCATTTGTATAAGACAGGAAGTCGGCCCTCTCAACCAGTGGGTTGAAGCAGATATGTACACAATACTATCTCCAGGACTCACTGTTAGTAAGCTGGATAGGGAATCCAGGGTTCCGATAGTCATCAAGAAAAGCATCCTGAGAAAGATCAGAGTGGTTGAAAATGAAGATTTTACGATATTTGAGCCACTGACAGCCATT